GTCTTGGATATGTCGAGTATACACATACCCACGTAGATTAGTTTGTAGAACTTTACCTCGAGTTTACGCAATTTCACGGCGATCAGATTTTCCAAAAATATGCTTCTAGTGTGAAAATTTGGTTTTGCAATCATTGCCTCTGCACCATATCTTCCATCCCAGTATGTCACGAGCTTAATATCAATGCGATTGCGCACATTTTCCATCGTTTTATCAAATACCGCATTATTCGTAACGCAAAGTCCGTGTCGCGTACATTGCTGCAGGTTACGATAATGTATTACGTAACGCTTCTTATCATATAAAGTTGTGAGCAACTTGTCCTATCGCTTACCGGGTGGTTTGTCGCGTGTCGGGCAAAACGGTATGTCAGTGTGCGCATCGTGAACATGTTGTATACTCGAGATTGATTTCGAGGATGTAGCCTGTAGGCGAATCGAGCGCGATCAATGATATATTAAAATTGGATACATCGTCAACCCATCGAAAATCTGCATAGGACAAATGTTGACACATTGCCCATCCGTACAAATTATTTACATCAAAGTACATTAGATACGATGAAGGTTTCGATGGATCGTACGACTGCATGTACTTGTTATTAACATGGGCGTATCTGTTGGAACATCAACTTAGACCACTGCGTATTCCATGTTTGATAAACATAACCATGTCGATATTTGTAAGCAATTCGAATGTAATATTCACGGACTTATATATAAGGACAGGGCACATGAAGCTTACAGCTGACTACATAATGACGTCGCCCACTACGTGGCGCTAGGAGCGCAATACCTTGGCCGGCTTACTTCAACTTACCCTAATAAATATAATAAAATATTTTAAATAATTCTATCATTAAAAGATAAAGCATTCCATAAAAATGAGTAGTTTGTAAAAGAAGCTGAGTGATGTATTTTGAAAACGTAGTGATAATTTTGACTATCTAAACATATTACAGTACACATATATATGTATATATATGCTCAATGTGGGTGAGCGCATGCGGTTTGATTTATTAATATCATAGACATAGTATATCTAGACCGAGTGTTGAGGAGTGGGGGCCGATGCCCACGTAGAAAAGGACATACTC